TATTACATCCTCAGCTTAGATATTTTCAAAGTAAAAGTGTATGTTGAAGCAATTATGAGTTGCTTTTGAAAATTCCACTTCTTTCTCCAGAATGCGTTATTGAAAGTAAGGATATTATGTGTGACAACTTTCTTCCAACTTCTTCATACGAGAGGCTTCAACTCTTTTGACTTTGTGATGACTGCGTTCTGTTATGATGCATAGAGGTCTTGATAGTTAATGGTTAGCTGAATAATTCTGGTCGGTGGAGAAAATTAAAAAAATATTACAGCTTACAACAGTTATTCTGCCAGTCCAAATATTGGACCTTAATTCTCTCTTTCTTTGGGCGCAATACTTTTCTTATTCCTTTAGTCGATTGAATATGATGAGCCGTTCCATTTGTTGTTTGTCTGTTGATTATTGCTTTGCTGTCAACTTTAGGATGGTTTGTATGATCCAAAGCGGCACAGATTTGGGGTTGATCAGGGGTAACAGAAATTTAGGGCTTAAGGGTTCTATGATTCTTAATGGCACTGGGAAGTTTCCAGCGTCATATGGCCAGGAATAAGATGGATATCAGGGGCTTATAGGCTGGAAAAGCATTAGTGAAAATCTGATATGTTCATTGATTTCCAGTGTCCTGACTCTACTGAGTAGTCTGAGCATGATCCAGAGCTATGAAACTCCTTTTTACGATTCTGCTTTTGTTGTATTGCTTTTGCCTAATGATAACTTTTTATTCCACATTTATGTATGTATACACACACCACGTGCGCATGTATACACAAATATAGTGCACTAAATTTATTGCAACATGAATATGAATTTGTCTGCATGTTTCAGTAGGTTTAAGACCACTTATATGCTTTTTCTTTTGGGGCTATAAGATCTGTTTTCCCAACAATGTAGAATCCTCGAACAATCCTCCTCCCCCCCTCCCCCTCCCCCCCCCAAAACCCAAAAGGCAAAATAAAAGAAAGTTGTGTTAAATAAACTTGTTAGGTTTATGATATTAGTAGTTGGAGGACAAGAAAATGTTTGGTTACACATTGATAAAGTTCATTTTTGTGTATTTGAGTGAAAAAGCTAAGTTCACCCACCATTCTATATATACAAGTTTTCTCTTGATTAAAAATGTTCTAAGGTAATGGTGTTTCCAGTTGATTGATTGTTACTAATGAGTTTTTCTCGTTGTGTGGGATTTTTTACATTCAATCCTGTAGATTGGAGTCTACAAAAGGGACATATGCAAAAGAGAGGGTGAAATGGGAGAAGCAATTGAGGGATATTCTACTTGGAAATGCCGACTATCTCAATTCAATACAGGTAAGTTTGTGCAGCTTAGCTCAGTGCTGTTAGATCTCTCAAGGCACGTAATTCTCTGATCTTACCTTCCACTGGAAATAAAATTATGATTGCTATAATGTTATTCAAGCCCGCCCTTCGCTTCAGATGTTACCCATGACACGTAGATGTACTACATGCATACATTATTTGAATTGACGTACCTGTGTAGTAATTGTGTGGTAAAGATTGGGGTACTTCGTGTGGGTTCTTCAAATACGCCAAAAATCAGCAACAAATTTGGCGCCATACCAGATACATAGACTCACCCGTATAGGATATATATATACCCGTAAACGAGTCCATATAACATAGCCAATGACAAAGCACAGAAGCTTCTTTACCTGCGCTGTTTGCACAGATGTGTTTTTCTGTATGTAACTCTTCTTTGACATGGGGAGGCTGTAGGGATTTGGAGGAAAGAGTGGCTTAGGTAGGAAGCCATGTCTGTAGAAAAAGAATGAATTACTTGCCTTAAGTGAGCTGGTATGCCAAAGAAGATCATACATGCTGCATGAGCAACGCCTTTCTGTTATTGGGGTTAGTTGGATGATTCAATATTCCATGATCAGCAACACCCCCTCCCCCGCCCCCTCCTCTGTCCCCAGGAACCCCGAGGCGCAGAAGAGTAGTGACAGTTCGAAAGAAATCGGCCACATTTTGGTAGGAGAATATTTGGCTAGTGATTCTGCAAACTTCTATTTCAGGTTCCATTTGAATTTGCTGTTAAAGAAGTCCTGGAACAACTGAGAGCTATTGCGAGGGCCGAGTATGCAGCGCCTACTTCTGAGAAGAGGAAGCTAGGATCTATTGTGTTTGCTGCTGTCAGCCTCCCAGTTCCAGAAATTCTTGGTCTTCTGAATGATGTAAGTGAATTTCCAAATTTATAAGTTGCACTTGTGGAGTCTTTGATGACTGGAAATTTTGTTTCTTGCTAGTTGTAGTTAGTGGTCTATGCTCTTATCATACCTGAGGGTTTGTGCACAAAACAATATATTATTCCTTGTGGCTAAATTGTTTTCTTGGCAGGTTGAAGAGAATGATAGTCTTTCTTGTTTATCTGTTTGTTGCCTTCTGTGTCGTTCAATTAATAATCTCTTTATCCGAGAAAAGCAAATATTCTGCTTCCGCTCTATTGTCCTCTCAATCTTAGTGATTTCCTATCTCATCTGAAATTTCTGCATTTCGTTTAAAAGTCCTTCATGTGAATAAAGTATTCGCATAAAGGACCCGACTATGTTATCTCATGCTTCTCATTATTTTGTGGACAGCTAGCCCAGAAAGATCCGAAAGTTGGTGATTTCTTGAAGGACAAAAGCTTAGAGAGCTGCATTCAGAAGGCCCATTTGACCTTGGCTCACAAGAGAAGTCACGGTGTCACTGCAGTTGCCAAATACGCTGCCTTTCTTGACCAAAAGGTGCCGGTAGAGTTGGCTGCTTTGTTGTTCTCTGAAAAACTTGCTGCACTAGAAGCTGAGCCTGGCTCTGTTGAAGGTGAAAAGGTCAATTCCGAAAACCAATGGCCTCATGTCACAGTATGGACTGGCGAAGGAGTTGCAGCCAGAGAAGCCAATACACTGCCACAATTACTTTCACAAGGGAAGGCTACTCGAATTGATATAAATCCACCAGTCACTATAACTGGCACTCTCGAATTCTTTTGAATTCTACCTGTAACAATTTTGTAGGATCTTATGCTTTTGGTGGAAACATTTTCTTTTTAATTTTTTTTTTGCAAGGGTGTGGCCTAAGTCAATGAAGTGGGTTAGAACCATGAGGTCTCATGTTCAATTCCCAACGGAAACAAAAAACACTAGATGACTTCTTCCTATCTATCCAAGCCTTGGTGGATAGAGTTATTTGATACCTGTTGCTGGTGGGAGGTAGCAGGTATTCCGTGGAATTAGTCGAGGTGTGCGCAAGCTGGTACCATGGTTATTTAAAAAACAGTTTTGCAGGATAGAGTTAGATTTAGAGAAATGTATAATGTCTATGCATTCTAGAGCTGCAGGTACTTTGACGCTGCAGGTAGCAGATTATTGAATAAAAGAAACTATTTTCTACCGGTGTCTTAATATATTAGTTCTCTTCTTTCTTGATGTGTCTGTGTTGATCCTGCGTTTGCTTAATATGGAGTGTTAAAGTTATATCCCTGTTGAGACTTTGCTCAATTGCGTTTGGTTGCAACTGTGAGTGAAGATGCTAACCATTTGGACATTGAAATTTGGCATACGAAACATCATTTAAGGATTGGTGGCATGGAAATAAGAAATACTCTGCTGAATATAATCAATTATGCAATGGAAAACACACTTGTGATATTTTAATCATGAGGCCGAGGTATTACTACATAGTTGACGTTGACGGTTGACACCTAAATTGAAAAAAAAATTACAGAACTACTATGATTTAATATGCCACGCAAAAGCATTAATCTGTACTTTTTTCTTTTTCTTTTCTTTATTGCCGCTCTTTTTCTCATTTTTTTTTCTTCAGAGATGAATTGTTTCTCGTGCGCCGGACTGTTTAAGAAAATGCCAAAGAAGAGAGAGCCCATTTCTGGTATATAATAATCCTACATATTTAAATTGATTCTCCTTCTTGTTTCTTTCTTGTGTAAACCGAATATCGTGGGAAAAGCTTTACTCTATGAACCAAGTCTTTCTGACGAGGCACTAGCTTTCTTTTTTTAATCCCTGATTAGCATTTTCTTTCACTGAGTAATGGGCGGATATTTTAACATAAGTGGATATGGGACACAGAAAGAATAGATTCGGGTGTTCCTGAGTCAAGTGATTCTTCTCCAAGGGATGGTCGGAGGAGTAAGAATTCGAGGAAATAAAAGAAAATATGTAGCAATTGATTGGATAGCGGCTCAATTCCTAGGGCAGCGAACCATAAAAATGAAGAAGCTTTCCATAATCTTTTAATTTTTGCATGTGTGTTTATGGCAAAGTTATGTCATTTTACTTATTCGGATGATCTTGAGCCTGCCCTTAATTTGACTTGTTTTTTTTCATATGCGAAGAAATCTTGTTTATGTTGAATCATATATTCACATGTTGCCTTATTTGTTTGAGACCCAGTAGTGGGATTTCACAGGTTGTTGTTGTTGTTGTTGTTGTTATTGTTATTGTTGCCTTATTTGTTTGAGGTGGAAGCATTTGCGCGTGGAGATAATTTCATATTTAGGGCTGTTAATTTTTTTTAGGAGGAAGATGCTACTTGGACTTTATAAATTCTTGGACATGAAATGTTTAACAAAAAAATAGAAGAATATTATTTTAATTAACTCAGATTGGTTGATTGAATAAAATTCACTGGCAAGGACCAGTAAAAACTAAATATTAATTTTTCTGCTAAGGTAAAATATGGTCTGTAAAAATTTAGATAGATTGAAAACTATCCCTTTTTTAATAGAAGAATTAACCCGATTAGCTACTCACTCAATCACAATATGACCGGCTACTTGTGTCAAGATCCCTTTTGTATACCCGGAAGCATTAGAGATAAAATAAAATTCTTTTTAACGATAATTGTATGTTAAAGTCCATATGTATATCTTATGAGAACTTGTGGCCCGTGTCTTAGCTGAAGGTAGGAAGATGATTCAATTGAATCCCCTTCGTCTTGAAATTACGCTGTATAAGTACGCTGAATATACACTGTTTAATCCCATTAAAAATAAGGGAAGCTTCTTTGTATAGCACTTTTGCATTTTCTTGAATTTCCTTGTTAGGATTACCTTTGCGAGGCTAGTCTGATAGGATTTTTGTCTGAGACAGTTAGTGGCAATGTTGTATCTTACTACTATTTCGTTTTTCATAGTGCCGGGTCTATTTACTGGCTATCGCTTTTGCTTTGCATTTATTTTCTGGTTTTCATGATGTTATTTTCCTATGGGGTATCTGTTGGATATGGTCTCTTTTCCTCTTCTTTAGTCGAGGGTCTTTTGGAAACAACCTCTCTACTCCCTTGGGGTAGGGGTTTGACCTGTTCAAAAAGTAAAGGGAAGATAAATGTCACGTTCAGAGGAAGGTTCATAGAAAAGTGCTTAGGAAATTATCAGATGACTTTTCTTCCAACAATTGGACCAATGAGAAGCTGAATGCTGAAAATAGTGTATGTCATTTTGTTGACATTTTGTTAGTATTTCTACTCTTGATATGTTAAAACCATTACATTGGTTTCTGTTATAGTCATACCTTTCCCTGTGTGACATAAGGCTAAGAACTCAATAATATACCTTATGGAGTCTGTTAATATTGCAGGATCTAGTAACATTGTTGCAAAAACTTTTACATTGGAGGAATTAGCCAATGCAACCAGAAACTTTCGAGATGATTGTCGTCTCGGACAAGGAGGCAGTAGAAGAGTATATAAGGGGCATATTGACGAACAGGTTAGCCGCAAAACATACTCGTGCACCTTTCTGAGATGAGCTCAGCTCCGAATACTGATATACATATATATTGTTTTTGTTCTGTTTTACTTTTGTGATGGGACGCTCGTTTGAGTTTATTTTCACAAGAGAAATCAAAATCAAAGCATCTTCCCATTATGTTGGCCATTTCTGGAGGTGATCCATACAAGTTTGGTTCTATTATGCACTTTTACTATGCTTTTTCCCCTTAACAATTAGATGAAACAGAGTACAACAACAACAAATTCAGTGCAATCCCACAGGTGGGATTGTGTATGCAGATTTTAAACCTATCCAGCGAAGGTAGAGAGGTTGTTTCCAATAAAAGGAGAAGAAAGGAAGCACTAGCAACAAACAGTAACAAACATCATAATAAATTAGACGGAACAGAGTAAATAAATCAAAATAGTACACTAGGATCATTTGTTAGTTATTCGTATGTTTCTTTGTAGAATAGACTTCATGGATTTGAATTATGACACTGCAGGTTGTTGCCATCAAACAGGTTGATCAAAATGGCAACAGGAAATTTCTTGTTGAAGTGTTGATGTTAAATCTGTTACACCATCCTAATATTGTACATCTAATCGGCTACTGTGCTGACGGAGATCATAGACTTCTGGTTTACAAATACGTGCCGCTAGGATCATTAAAAGACTATATTCATGGTAAATTATCACACTATTTGATTACTACTTCAGATAAAGATAACGGGCAGCCCGGTGTACTAAGCTCTCGCTATGCGCGGGGTTTAGGGAAGGGCCGGATCACAAGGGTCTATTATACGCAGCTTTACCTACATTTTTGCAAGAGATTGTTTCCATCGCTCGAACCCATAACCTCCTCATCAGATGACAACAACTTTACCAGTTACGTCAAGGTTCCCCTTCCTATTTCAAATAAAGATATGGTTTTAAAATTTATTGATTTATGTGCAGATTCTTCACCTGGTAAGAAACAACTTGATTGGGACACTAGAATGAAAATTGCTATTGAAGTAGCAAAGGGATTGGAATTCTTACATGATATAGCACAGCCACCTGTAATACACCGTAATATCAACTGCTCTAATATCTTGCTTGATGAGGGATATCAAGCCAAGATATCTGGTTTTAGCTTGGCCAAACTAGGGCCTATAGGCGGCAAACGCCATGTATACGTGAAATTCCAGGGCGCGATTGGGTATAGTGCACCTGAGTATGTCATGACTGGTGAGTTGAGTGTAAAGTCGGATATTTACAGCTTTGGAATTGTCCTTCTGGAGATCCTTACTGGGAGAAAAGCAATAGAAAATTCAACAGATGGAGAAGAGTACAATCTGGTTGAATGGGTAAGATATTTTTGCTCTTATAATAATTCTCAAAACTTCAATGAGATTGATTTTTTTTCCTTTCCCCTAAAATTCTTCCTGAGCCGGGGGTTTGTTGGAAACAGCCTCTCTATCCTCACAAGGTAGAGGTAAGGTCTGCGTACATACAACTTTCCCCACACCCCACAGTGTAGGATAATACTGGGTATTTTGTTGTTGTTGTTGTTGTTGTGTTTCCCTATAATTCTTGTTGAAGTTAGTTCCACTACATTCAGAGAAATGGTGGACTCTTAAAAAATACCCGTGAGTGCGTGTCGGATCCTTCAAAAATGCACGTGTCGAGTCATCCAAAAGTAGTGCATTTTTGGAGGATTTGACACGGGTACAGCTGTATTTCTGGAGAGTCTGAGCAGCATATCTTTAAGAACGAATTGTTTTTAATTAACCAACTTGGTTTCTGCTATACAAATTTGTGCTACTTTTAGTTTTCTGATGTAAACATTGATATTTTTCATGTCAGGCAAGTCCATTGATCAAAGATCAGAAATTCTCTGAAATGGCAGATCCAACGCTTCAAGGCAATTATCCAGCAAAAGGTTTACAACAAGCTCTTATAGTCGCAGAAATGTGTGTTCAAGAGCAACCTACAAAACGTCCCGCCATAGCAGAGGTGGTCACATTTTTGACTCACATTGCTTCAGGAAAGTATGATTCTGAAAGTCAGGATGTTCAAAACGCAACCTAAACATCTCCTAATGCTCGTCGAGAATGTGGGCAATTAGTGATTGCAGGCTAGGTTAAAAAGAATCTGAACTAGCACAAGCAGCAACAACAACAACAAACTCAGTGTAATTTCACGAGTGGGTCTGGGGAGAGTAGTGTATACGCAGACCTTACCCCTATCTTTAAGAAGATAGAGAGGTTGTTTCCGGTAGACCATCAGCTCAGGTAGAACCTCTGCTCAGGAAAGATCTGAACTAGCATAAGCATTTCGTCAAAATTTTGTCGATACAATGAAGATAGTAGTAAAGCTTGTTATCCTCAATAGTCTATTATTTTATGAACTAACACATGTATGTATTCTGAAACAAGATATGATACAGGAATATGAACATATACATGGAAACTTCGATATTTTCTATGTGTTTTTGAACAATTTGATATGAGCAAACTCTAAAAGCATCAGAAAGTCTGTAATGGCTTGTCACTAGTGCCCAAGGGCGGAGCTAGAGTGTCAGATACAGGTTCGGCTGAACTCAATAGCTTTTGTTCATACTTTAATTTATTTATTTTTTTAAAAAAATTCATTGAATATGTATAAATATATAATTTAGAACCTAGTAATTTAATAGGATTGTGACGCCGAACCCATAAGCTTTAAATCCTAGTTCCGCATTTGCTAGTGACTATGAATAAACTCAGAAGTGAAGTTATAGAAGGTGTTTTGCTAAGCTTATTAGTTGGTCAAACTAGCTTATAAGCACTTTTTGGTTTATCTACGCGTTTGGTAAACATCCAAAGTGCTTATAAGCCAAGTACTTAAAAGCTAAAATCAGTCATAAGCCATAAGTTGGTCACCCCCAATTTATGACTTTTCAGCTTATAAGCACTTTTAGTTGGACCAAGATTTTTACTAGTTTATCCTTAATAATATTTTTTAATTTACAAAATATTTTTCCCAAATAATTTTTTTAATTTTCTCTTCATTCCATATTCGTTGTTTATCATTTTCTCTACAAAGAAACTTTCTATTCATAATCTTCTGTAAAATTGTAAGGGTATTTAGAGGGTGTTTGGCTAAGCTTATAAGTTGGTCAAACTAGCTTATAAGCACTTTTCGGCTTATCTACGCGTTTGGTAAAGCTAAAAGTGCTTATAAGCCGAGTGCTTATAAGTCAAAAATAAGCCAAAAGCCATAAGTTGGTCACCCCCAACTTATGAATTTTTAGTTTATAAGACCTTTAGGTTTGACCAAAATTTTTACTATTTTATCCTTAAAATATTCATTTCTTGAACAAAACTCCTACATCGATACTCACTGCCTCAAATATTTTGTCTTATTTAGGTTTATTTTTTACTGAGAAACTTTTGTCAATTTATTAATTATTATAACTTATGATTATATGCTTATCATAAAAATTATCTTATCTAAGCACAATTGTATTTAAAATAAAATGACAAATAAAATATTTTGTATTTATCGATCTGGAATCTACAATTTTAAAGAAATTACGCCCTTATAAGTGCAAACAGTTCTAAGGCTATTTAAGTCATTTTAACAGAAAAAGAACTTATCAGCACTTTTTTATCAAATACTACAGCAACTTATTATCAATTTCAGCACTTGTACCAAATCACGTAACTGCTTATGTCACGACCCAAACCCCGGTCGTGATGGCGCCCAACACATTGCTAGGCAAGCCCGACCATTTACACAACCTTAGCCAAATAATCTATATAAATAAATAAATTTTCACTGCTAAAATACCAAATTAAATGCGAAATTTTTGTAATAATCTCTAACATTTGAAAATCCCAAAATAAAAACAAAGTACTAATCAACCCACAGAATCTGGTGTCACGAACATGAGCCTCTAGAAACAGATTATTCACCTATTACAAGTCCGACTAAGAAAAATATACGAATAAAATAATAAAAGATAGAAGGGAGAGATCAAGGCTGCGAACGCCATGCAGCTACCTCGATACTCCCGGATATTTACTGCTCCGCTAAACAAGTCCTCACTCACCCTGTGGTGTACCTGAATCTGCACACAAGGTGCAGGGAGTATTGTGAGTACTTCCAACCCAGAAAGTAATAAATATAAATAAAGTCTGAGGATAAGAAATCCTAAATAAACACAAAGTAAAACTATAAATACAACAACGTGGACCAATAGCATAATACAGTAAACATTAAAAACAGTTATAATAAAGTCACACCAGAATGAGAATAAATAACAATTAAATATGCAATGCAACACATAAACCGGTACCTCCAGTACCCCGCTACCCCGCGCTGCGGCCGTGCAGCCCGCTCCATTTATTTAACGTCGACGGCGCTCATTGGGGGTGTGCAGACTCCGGGAGGGGCCCCTTACGGCCCAAGCACAATAATAAGCCATCTCGTGGCATCAAACAGGCCCTTGGCCTCATATCAATATCACTATAATACTGCTGCGGCGTGCAGCCCGATCCGATACTCAGTCCAAAAATCACACAATAGTATAAAAATATTCAGCCAAACTTTATTTAAAAAATTAACTTAATTTCTAATTTAAGAAAAAGGCCGAAATTTCAAACACAGTATTAAATACCAGGACTGAGTTTAATATTTATAAATGGTAGAAAACTATTAAAATAATCCCTGGAGGATTCAAGTAGTTGGCACGAAGCCCAATTATGACAATTAATCCATTTTTATAAGGATATTACAAATCTACAATCAATAGGTACCAATTTTATTAAGCGGGACGGACCAAGTCAAGTCCCTGACGGTGCTCTACCCATGCCCGTTATCCGGCGTGCAAGTCACCTCACATAGCACTACGTTGTGCAAATTCGGGGTTTCAAACCCTCAACACAGCATTTACATTTATTACTAACCTCAAGCCGACCAAAAGTCCTAGCTTGCTATGCCCTTGCCTTTCGAATTCACCTCTTCGCGCGTCGAATCTGACAAAACCACAAACGAATACGTTACTATGCTAAGGGAATATAACCCAATCGAAAAGACTCGAAAAACATCGAAAATCACAAAGTTGGCAAAACCCGAGCCCCGGGCCCACTTCTCGAAAAATTATAAAATTCACATCACCGGATCCTTATCTCGCCACGAGTCCATGCATATAAAGAACACCAAAATCAGAGTCCAAATGACCCCTCAAATTCCCATTTTTGTTCTCTTAGGTTTCAACCCCTAAACAACCATTTTTGACCTTAATTCCTTGAGTTTTCAGTGAAATTTCATGTATTTGCATGATAAAATTGTGTTCTAAGTCCAAGAATGCTTACCTGATCGAAGTCCTTGAATTCCTCTTCAAAATCGCTCAAGAACACCCCAAGTCCCGAAGTCAAAATATGTGTTTTTGTAAATATTCCGCGAAGGGAATTAAAACCCTTTCTGACCAGTTATTTCCGCATCTGCGGCTACATAGACGCATTTGCGACTTATGCTTTTGCGATGGGGAGCCGCTTCTGCGGACAAGACCGCTTCTGCGTTACTAGACTGCTTCTGCGGTCTCGCATCTGCCGATTCCTTTTACGCAGGTGCGGTTCCTTTAGCTTCCAAAATTCCTCATTGCGGTCCTACTGTCGCATCCGCGACTCCGCAGATGCTGTCAGCATCTCCGCACCTGCGATGCCTGTCGCTTCTGCGGTTCTGACTCGCTTCTGCGGTACCTGCGCTTCTGCGGTCCCATTTCCGCAGGAGCGAAAATACCAGAAGCAGCACAGGTTCTGCAATCTCCTAAGTTCAAAACTTCCCGTTAGCCATCCGAAATCACCCCGAGGCCCTCGGCCTCAACCAAAAATACAAAACATGATCCAATACCTTCAAACTTGCTCCAATCATTAAAACACCTCACCCAACACTAAACATCATTTCTCAATCGAATTCAAGCCTAAGTTCTTCTAAAACTTCCGAAACACGCATTCGATCAGAAACCCAACCAAAACACCTTCCGAATGACTGAAATTTTTGCACACACATCCAAAATCACCTATCGAAGCTACAGCAACTCTCGGAATCTCATTCCGACCCCCGGATCAAAATCTCACCTACCAACCGGAATTCGCCAAAATACTAAACTTCGGCCAATTCAAGCGCTAATTATACACCGAACCTCTAAAAATCAATTCCGATCGCACTCCTAAGTCACAATATCCCCCGAAGCTAACCAAATCATCGAATTCAAAATCCGAGCCCTCTAACACAAAAGTCAACATCCGTGACTTTCCAAATTAAGCCTTCTTAAAAAGAGACTAAGTGGTCTCATTTCCTTATCAAAACCATTCCAACCAACTCTAACACATCAAATACTGATAAATGAAACATGAAGAAGCTAACATGGGGAAACGGGCGGTAACTCACGTGACGAGCGGGTCGGGTGTCACATCCTCCCCAACTTAAACAAACGCTCGTTCCTCGAGCGGTTCAAGAAAACATACCTGAAGTCTCAATAGGTGAGGATATCTGCTCCGCAATCTGTCTCCTGCTCGGTCTCCCGTAAGCCTCCTCCACAGGCTGACCTCTCCATTGCACTTTCACTGATGCAACATCTTTGGATCTAACTTCGAACCTGACGATCTCAAAATGGCTGCTGGCTCTACCTCAATAATCAAGTCACCCTCCAGCTGAACTATACCTGAAATCTAAACGTGGGACGGGTCCCAATGACTTCCGGGACATAGACACATGAAAAATGGATGCACGCCCGACAAGCTAGTGGCAAGGCAAGCTCATAAGCACCTCCCCGATCCTCACTAAGTACCTAAAAAGGCCAAAAATGAACCACGGACTGCAGCTTCCTTTCTTCCAAATGCTCATAAACACCCTTTGTGTGGGTGAACACCTTCCAGCAAGAACCTTCTATCTCAATCATAAAAGATAATCTCGAACCTTTCCTGTCTGCATAGCTCTTTTGTCTCGACTGGTGCTGTACGCGGAGTCTCTCCTGAATCACCTTCACCTCTCCAATGCCATCCTGAACGCAAATCTGTCCCCAACAACCTAGCCTCCCCGGGCTCGAACCAACCAACTGAGATCTACACCGCCTCCCATACAAGGCCTCATACGTGCCATCTGAATGCTGGACCTGATAGCTATTTGTTGTAGGCAAACTCTGCAAAGCGGTAGAAAACAGATCCCATGACATCCAAAATCATAACATCAGGCACAGTAACATATCCTCCAATGTCTGATGTGCGTCTCGGACTGCCCGTCTGTCTGAGGGTGAGAAGCTTGTGCTCAACTGCACTTGAGTACGCCAACTCTCGCTGAACCACTGCCAAAACTTGAGAGGTGAAACTGAGTGCCCCGATCTGATATGATGGAAACTGGGACACCCATGTCAAATCGAACTTATCTTCCGAATATGATCTCTGCACCAACCGCTCTAAAGAAATAAGTAGTTGACAAAC